AAGCAATAATCACTCTTAATCACTGAGCCATCTTTCCAGCAACAAGGAGCTTCCTTAAAAAAATATTCAGTGTGTGTGAAGTTGTTCAAAATCTGAAATCACAAGTTAACCAATAACTGCTGCCAAGAACATTGAGAAAATGTATCTGGGGTGAGGAAGTGGCCCTACTAGGGGAAAGGTTGTGCTCTCTCAGGCCAGAGATGAAGCGGGCTTAGCTCAGTAGAATGCAGTCAGACAGGAAAATCTTAGCAGTGGAAAAATCTTTGGTTAACCACAATTCTGTTTTGTGAATGTGTGTAGTTGCCGGGGATGGAACCCAGAGTTTTAGTATGCTAAGCAAATGCTCCACCACTGAGCCATGCCCCAGCACATCACTGGGGGATTCCAGTAGGGTTTATACCACTAAGCCACAACCCCCGCTCCTCAGGGACATTTTAGGCAGGAGCTCTACCACTGAACCACATCCCCTGCCCCCACTGGGGGATACTAGGCAGGAAGTCTCTCACTGAACCAAGATCCAGCCTTTCCCTGGGGCGGGGCGGCGGGGGGGTGGGGATTCTAGGCAGAGGCTCTATTACTGAGCTAGGATTCCAGGCTCTCATGGGGAGATTCTAGATAGGGGCTATAACACTGAGCCACACACCCAGCCCTTTACTGGGGTCGTCTAAAAACGTGCTGTATCAACCGGGCGTGGTGGCACACTCCTTTAGTCCCAGCAGAGGCAGGTGGATCACTGTGAGTTCAAGGCCAGCCTGGTCTACATAGTGAGTTCCAGGCCAGCTGGGGCTACAGGCTACAGGGAGACCCTGTCTCAAAAAGATCAAAAAAAAAAAAGAAAGAAAGAAAAAAAGTGGAGCGCTAGAGCTGTGACTCGGTGATACGGCACCTTTTTTTTTTTTTTTTTTTTGAGGCAGGGTCTCTCACTGAACTTTGAACTTGCTGATTCAGGCTAGACTGGCTGACCTATGAGTCCCAGGAGACCTCCTTTACTGCCACCACAGCACTGGGGTTATAGCCGTACAACATAATCGTCTTTTGATGTGGGTGTTGGTGATTTGAATTCAGGTCCTCTTACTTGTGGGTCAAGCACTTGTGGACTGAGCCACCTCCCCAGCTACCCCAGTGACCTTTTCAATATGCTTCCACCTCACCCAGTGTCAGTTGTGCCATCTATAAAATTGCATGCAACAGTTGCAAGAATCCAGGGGCAGAGGATGTGGTATGTGTCCACACGTTATGAAGTTTATGGTTGGAGGCTGAAGAGATAGGAGGAAGGACCTGGAAGGAGGGTGGCCCAACTTTGTTCCAGGAAACATTGGCCAGATGGTCCTGGCCCCTACTACTTCTCTTCCTGCACACTTCCTCTTTTAGAGTGGTCTGAGTTGCTGTCCAAGCCCACAACCCATTTCTTGATTACTCTGGGGCATTAGAATGCAAGGGAGGGGCCTGGGGAGACGGCTTAGTAGGTAATAGCTCTTGCTGCTCAAGGAAGATCTGAGTTTGAATTCTCAGTACCCCTGTGAAAACGCTGCACTCATTTGGGTGCTTGTGTTCCTCTAACCACTGCATTTTTGGGGGTGGAGACAGGAGGACTGCTGGGGATGACTGACTGACACCTTAGTTCCAGGTTCCATAACAGATTGTGTCCCAAGGTGGAGAGTGATAGAGCAGGACACCTGATGTCCTTCTCTGGCCTGTGGGTGCGAGAGTACACACACACACACACACACACACACACACACACACACACACACACACAATTTAAGGGAGTTTCTGTTCCTTTTTTGTTTCTTTTGTTATTTATGTTTTGAGACAGGGTCTCCCTGTAGCCCCAGCTGTCCTGGAACTCACTATGTAGACCAGGCTGGCCTCCATAGTGAATCCAGGCCATCTGTGACTATGGGGAAACTCTGTCTTTAAAAGACCAAAAAGGGGCTGGAGAGATGGTTCAGTGGTTAAGAACACTGACTGTTCTTGTAGAAGACCCAGGTTCGAATCTCAGCACCCACATTGGCAACTAACAACTGTCGGTACCTCCAGTTCCAGGGGATCCAACAGCCTCTTCTGTCCTCCGCAGGCATTGCATGACATGGGTGCGCTTACCTACATGTAGGCATAACACTCATACATATAAAATAAAAATAATAAATATTAAAATTATTTTTTTTAAAAGATCAAAATTAATTTACTTATTTTACTCTGTGTATTGGTGTATGTCTTTAATCTCAGCACTGAGGAGGCAGAGGCAGGTGCTTTCTGTGAGATCAAGGCCAGCCTGGTTTACATTGCAAGTTTCATGCTAGTTGGGGATACAGAGAGACCCTGTCTCAAAAAAATATTTATTGTTATTTTGTGTATATTTGATGTATGTGTATGTCACAGTGTACCTGTGGAGGTCAGAGGACAGTTTTGTGCAATGGGTTCTCTCCTGCCACATTTACATGAGGGATCAAACTCAGACTGTCAGATTTGTATGGCAAGCACCTTACCCACTGAGCCACCTCACTGGCCACAGTTTTTTTTAAAAAAAATTCAATTAATATTTTTGTGTCTGTACATGCATGCCATGATGCACATTCAGAGGGCAGAAGACAACTTGTGGGAGTTGGTTCTCTCTTTCCACTGTGTGGATTCCAGGGGTTGAACTCAGGTTGTCCGATTTAGCCACAAGGACCATTAACTTCTGAGCCATTTACCAGTCTTTATTTTTTTTTCTTGAGAGGAGACGGTCTTACTTTGTCTGCAAACCAGGCTGACCTGGTACTCACTGTGCAGTCCAGACTGACCTTGAACTCAGGACCATCCTTCTGCCCGTCCCCATCCCTTCCTTTCTTTTCCTGCAGCCCAGACTGACCTTGAAATCACCATGTAACTGAGTAGAATTGCTGATCTGCCTCCACCTCCCAAGTGCTAAAATGACAGGTGTGTGCCACCCATGGTTTAAATAAACCTTACTTGGAAAAACACCAAAACATTTGTGCATGCAGGTACATACACTTGTCAAAAGAGAACAAACAGAACCCTTCAGGTGGGTGCATTTTATTGTGTGTAAGTTATGCTTCAAGAAAACTGATTTTTCCAAAATAATTGGAGCTGGAGAAATGGCTCACCAGTTCAAAACACTGGTTACTCTTGCAGAGGCTCTGGGTTGGGAGCCCAGCATCCACACAGTAGCTAACAACCCTCCATAGCTCTAGTCCTAGGGGACCTCTGTGGGCATTATATGCATGCTGTGCACTTACATACATGAAGGCAAAACACTCATGCATGTTAAAAAAAAAAAAAGCAAAACTAAAACTAACTAAATCCAGATAGTAACTATTGGGTCAGCAAGATGGCTCAGCAGATAAAAGTAATGCTGTGAAAACCTGACAGTCTTGAGTTCAACCCCAGGAACCCATGGTGGAAGGAGAGAAACTGACTCCTGAAAGTTGTCCTCTGACCTCCACAAGAGCACCACGGCATGCTTGCACCTGCTCTCACACTGTCAATAATAATAAGTAAAACAAAAGTTAAAAAAAAATAACTAGAGCTGAGCACCATGGTTCACACCTGCAATCCTAACACTCTGAGGCTGTGGATGAAATCCCTGAGAAGATCTGCATCTTACACTGAACCTTCTGCAAGGCTGAGTAACTGATTACAGCATCCATGATTGTGGACAGGTTGGAATGTTGCAGGCCCTGAGTCTAATTGCAGTTTATCTCATTGCAGTTTATCTCTGGTGGGACTAGAAAGATGGCTCAGTGGTTAAAGCACTGGCTGCTTTTGCAGAGACCTGGATTCCCAGAACCCACATGGCAGCGAACAATCATCTGTAACTCCAGTTTCAGGGGATCCTCTGCCCCCTTCTGGCCTCTATAGGCATTGCATGACAAAGTTGCGGGCAAAACACTCATACACATAAAAGAAAAATAAAATAGGGGCTGGAGAGATGGCTCAGAGGTTAAGAACACTGGCTGATCTTTCAGAAGTCTGGGTTCAGATCCCAGCATCCACATGACAGCTAACAACTGTCTAACTCCAGTTCCAGGGGATCGGCGGCCTCTTTCTTTCCTCCTTGGTCACTGTGTGACATGGGTGTACTTACATACATGTAGGTAATACATGCATACACATAAAAATAAAGTAAAATGTTTTAAAAAGTCTTTATTATTTTATTTGTTCTGGTACTATTAAAAACTTCATGAGACTGCAACCAGATTGGAACACGGAATTTGGGGGTAACCTGAATTTGTGTTACTAGACATAGTCACTCATATTTGGCTGGAGAACAAATTATCTCATATCCCTTTTTGAGGCTGAGAACTGTGTTTTGTTTTCTTTTGCTTTCAGACAGGGTCTTATTAGACCAAGCTGGTCTCAAACTCAGAGAGATCTGCCTTCGTCTGTCTACTGAGTACTGAGATTAAAGGTATTCACCACCATGCCTGGCCAGGAGAGTTGTGTTTTTGCATTGATAAGACTAAGGCAGGAGGATTGCTGCAGGTTGAAAGCCAGCATGGGATATATAGCAGAGAGAGAGAGAGAGAGAGAGAGAGAGAGAGAGAGAAAGAGAGAGAGAGAGAGAAATTTATGTGTAATTATTCTGAGGTTTTATTAGACAGTTGTGCATGTAAAATTAAGACCAGTAGAGGTATTTGTTACTGTTCGAACTTGGGCAAATGAAAGGATTTTAATACTTATTTAGATACAAGGCCTCATGTAGTCCAGACTGGCTCTGGCTCACTCTGTAGCTGACAATGACCTTGAACTCTTGAGTCTCCTGCCTTCACCTCCTAAATGCTGGCATGATACGAACACCGTCATGCCTGGCTTATACAGTGCTCGAGGTAGAACCCAGGGCCTCGTGCATGCCAGGGGGCCCTCTGCTGACAGCGCCACATCCTCAGCACTGGTTTTGCCTCTTTTTCCTCCTCAGTGTAAGTGGATTTGAGTGCCGCGTGTCTGTTCCGTTTGGCTTCTGTGTAAACGTTGCATCTAGGACCGTCATCCACATTGTTGTACACAGCTGCCTTGGATGTTGGGGTCTCTCACTCACATGCATTGTTAGAAACTCAAGGTGGGTGGTTTCTTTTTTAAAGGCCTTGGCGCGTGGTTCAGCCTTAGACCCCCTGCCTAGAATCCCCCAGTGAGGGCCTGGGGGATGTGACTCAGTGGTAGAGTGCTTGACCAGAATCCTTCAGTGAGGGCTTGAGTTTAGTGTAGAGCCTAGAATCCTTCAGTGTGGGGCTAGGGGAAAGGTGCAAGGTAGTGTTTCTATCTAGAATCCCTCAGTGAGGGGCTAAGGGTGTGACACAGTAGTAGAGCCCCTGCCTAGAATCTAACCACCTGATGGGGAATGTTTCCCATAAAACAAAGAATCATGGTGGTCATATCGCATAAAGACATCGTCTTAGTTTTCATCTCCAGCCTGTTCAGGCAAAGTCCTGATTCTACTTTTCTTTCCCACCATGGTTCCTAGAGTTATCTCCAGATTATCAATCACCTCCTGAGCATTTCATGATGCAGGAAGAGCCCGGTGCTGAAGGGGGAGGATGTGACTATGTCAGGAAGGGAAGAGTCCCTTTCTGGTGCTTCTAGAATCTGTTCCTCTTGGCCCCAGATGTGGAACGGAACGGGCAAGGGGCCAAGGGATTTGTTACCTAAGACAGGAAGGCCCACACCCAGAAGGCTCAAAGAGTTGTGCTACAGGAATTCACATCCAGAGCTAATTTGTGTCCTGCTGAGTCCACAGAGAGGTAAGCAACAGCTCTGCAGTAGCCAGAGCTCCAACCCGGGGGACTAGGAGCCATCCTGGACGGTCATCCCTGTCTCCCACAGGGATCCAAGGATACTGGTCTGATCCTTCGAATTACAGAGAATCTGATCTAAAGACAGGGTTCTTATTTATCTTTTGCAGTACTTTCAGGATGAAAGGATTCTCTTTTCTGCTCCTCTTCCTTCTCCTCCCTGTCCAAGCGCTGATGGGGTCACTGTGTCCCATGGATGAAGCCATCGACAGCAAGATCAAGGAAGACATTAGCTACTTAAGTGAGGACCCCTCCGTCTTACCTTTTGAAAATTAATTAACTTTTATGTGTGTGTTTTGCCTGCATGTATGTAAGTTCACCTGTATTGTGCAATGCCAGTGGAGGCCAGAAGAGGGCTTCTGATCTCCTGGAATTGGAGTTACTAATGGTTGTTAGCCACCATGTGGGTGCTGGGAACTGGACCTGGGTCCTCTGCAAGAGCAGCCAGTGCTCTTAATCACTGAGCCATCTCTCCAGTGACCCATCTCGTCCATCCTATCTTGCTGAGAGTCTCAGAGGCTTCTCTCATTCCTGACGGGGAACTGACCCCACCTAGCTGCAAGGCTAACCACACCTCAACTTCAAACTCACCCCAACTACAAGTTCCACCCCAACTCCACATCCAGCTTGACCTTGCCCCACCTTGAACCACAGCTCCAACCTTAATCCCAACTTCCACTTCAACCATCACCCCCAAATATTGCCTTACTCCATCCAACTTGGTGCTTGTTGGGGATAGTCCCCAGGGTCTCATGCAGGCTAGACAAACTACCCCTGAACTACACCTTCAGCCAATTTTAGGACAGCTTTTTTTTTTTTTTTGACATTTTTGAGACAGGGTCTCCCTGTAGCCCCAAGTGGCCTGCAACTCACTATGTAGACCAGGCTGGCCTTGAACTCACAGAGATTCTCCTGCCTCGAGTGCTGGGATCAAAGGCATGAGCCACCACACCTGGCTTTTTTTTTTTTTTAAGACAAAATCTTACTTTCTGTATAGTCTGGCCTTGAATCCATGATCCTCTGGCCTCAGCCTCCCAAGTGCTGGAATTACAGGTATGAGCCAACATGCCAGACTCTCTGGGGGGAAATTTTTTTTTGCCTGCGTATGTGTGTATGGTGTGTTAATGTGAATGCATGTCTGTGGGTGTACGTGTGTGCATGCCATATGGAGGTCCAAAGTTGATGTTGGTATTTGCCTTGGTCATTCCCTATTTTATTCATTGAGGCAGGGTCTTTCAGTCAAACCCAGAGCTAGCAGACTTGGCTAGTCTAGCTAGCCAGCTTGTTTTGGGGATTCCCTGTTTCCGTCTCCTGAATGCTGGAATTACAGGTGACCACCACACCTGTCTGGCTTTTAGGTGCATTCTCGGGATCTAAACTCCTGGTCTTCATACTTGGGAGCCAAGCTCTTTATCCAATGAACTGTCTCTCTGCTCCACTGGGAAAAAAATTTTGACCCCTTGTTTAATGCCAAGTTCAAAGGTTTCCCAGTGTGAGAATGGAGTTGGGGCAGCCTGGTCTCAGCCCCTTCCTTCTTCCCCTGTAGTTTCAGAAATACTCAAGAAAACTGACCTGCATTGCAGGACTGTCACCTCCAGAGGGGACTTGGCCATTTGCCAGGCAGGTGAGTGCAGTCTGTATTGCAGTGCAGATTTCCCAAGCGTCTCCTGAGACTCCCTGCCCTCTTTGTCCTGAGTCTGGGGCCTCAATATCTACTTTCCAGGGGCCCCAGCTCCTCCTTCAGTCACCCTGCATCCCATTCCCCAAGTGACAGCTTGCAGTCACCTCACTACACCTCCACCTCCCACTCCGACAGCCTCCCAGATCCTCAGGGATTTCTTCTTTGCAGGTTTTGCAGTCACAAGTTGCTCATGTGGTTCGGCCTGTGGCTCATGGGATGTGCGTGGGGGGACAACATGTCACTGCCAGTGCGTGGGCATGGATTGGACTGCAGCCCGGTGTTGTAGAGTGCAAGTTGGTGCCTGAAGTCTCTAGGGATGAGCCTGCGCTGTTGGGGAGGGGACTGGGGAGGCATGTGGAGGGGAAGGGGTGGAGCCAAGCTCTGGGACTGGAAATAAGCCTGGTGATGATGATGGTAATGACAAAAATAAATGATGAACTGGATATGGGCCTCGTGTGGTTTCTGGGAATGACTTCTATTAATGGACATAATCTGGACTAATGACTTTTAATTAACCCCATCAAAACCATGTGCTCTTGTGCCTTGTGACCTTGGTACCTGATCTTGTTTCCTAGGTATCAGTTTCATACTCCACCCAAAAAGATAAAGAATGAACGAATGTGGGTATGCTTGATAATTAGCATATTGATGCACTGGAAGGCTCTGCCCTATTTCATTTGGACACAATGAAGATTGGGAAGGATGATTGACCTTGGATAAAAGGATATTCTAGAACTAGGGATGAAAAGACTGGATCATCTATTCAGATTACAGTGGAGCTAAACTTGAACTTTCCCAATTGAAGCTGGAAAAATCATTTTGAATAAAATTATGGATGGGGCCAGATTTGGAACACAACTTGAGAGACAGAGTTCCAACAAGACAGTTTCATCAGCACAATTCTAGGAGACAGAGGGTTCCAAGAGATATCCAGGGGAACAGGTGTCCTCTGAGCTGGGGCCTACTCTTAAAAACTAAATTTAAAGCCGGGTGTGGTGGCCCACGCCTTTAATCCCAGCACTTGGGAGGCAGAGGCAGGCGGATCTCTGTGAGTTCAAGGCCAGCCTGGTCTACATAGTGACTTCCAGGCCAGCTGGGGCTACACGGAGACCCTGTCTCAAAAAGACCAAAAAGATTGTGTTGTGGTATGTTCCCTCCAGACCAACTCCTTCTAGAACTTTTAACATGAATGCATGTTGGATTTTGTCAAATGCCTTTTCTGCATCTATTGAGATAACCATGTAGTTTTTGTCATTAAGTCTATATGTTTTATTGTGGATTGTAGCACCAATCCCTTATATGTGACTGTATAAATTCTGATGTAACACCAGGAGCCAGGTAAAGGCAAAGGATATATGGAGGTATGTAATAGGGCACCTTCTTGACCATAGCTATGCCATGTTAAAGTTTAGGCTGACTCTAGTTTCTGAAATTATCAGGCAGTTGGCCTAGGATATGTGAACACATGTAAGCCAGACCCTGGTTGTCATGGGAACAGGTCAGAGCGTCCTAGAGTGATCCTGCTAACTGCTGATTTATGGCTTCTGTAGGTTATGCTTGGCTTGCTTCTACAAAATAGTAATTGTTGATTAATAGAATAGAAATTATTAAGGGGACTCTCCACCTGTATGCTTGGAAACTTAAACTTCAGCCCCTGTGATGGTTAATCTTATTACTTGACAGGATCTATAATTACCTAGAAGACACATACATGTCTGTGAGGGAGTTTCTAGACTGGGTTAATTGAGGTGGGAAGACACACTCTGAATGTGGTGCCCTTTCATGGGGTCCTGGACAGAATAAAAGGGAGAAAATGAGGGATGGAGGAATAGCTTAGTGGTAGAGTGTGGGGGATGTACAAGTGCATACACACACACACACACACACACACACACACATACACACAAACACTAAAATAAATGAAAGTGTAATAAAAGAAAAGAAAAAAGAAAATTGGAACTAGAAAGATAGCTCAGTGTTTAAGAGCATGTACTGAGGACTTGGGTTCACTTCTGTGCACCCACATCAAGTAACTCACAACTGCCTGTCTGTACCTCCAGCTCCAGGGGATCTGACACTCTTCTTGATGGCACCTTCACTCATGTACAAAAACCACACACACATACACACACACACACACAGACACACACACAGACACACAGACACACACACACAGACACACACACAGACACACGCACACAGAGACACACACACAGACACACACAGACACACACACACACAGACACACACACACAGACACACGCACACAGAGACACACACACAGACACACACACAGACACACACACACACACAATTAAAAACAAAGCAGGCCCTGGGTGTGGTGGTACATGCCTTTAATCCCAAAACTCCTGAGGCAGAGGCAGGTGGATCTCTGTAAGTTAGAGGCCAGACTGTTCTACAAAACAAGTTCCAGGTCTCAACAAACAAACAAAAAAGAAAAAGAAAAAGAAAAAAAGCAACAAAACAAAAATACTACACTAGGCAAGGCTGACTCATTCCTTTAATTCCAACACTTGGGAGGCAGAAGTAGGTGGGTGTCTGTGAATTAGAGGCCAGCCTGGGCTACAAAGCAAGTTCCAGCTAGCCAGAGCTCCATATTGAGACCTTGTCTCAACAAACAAACAAAACAAAACAAACAAATACCAGGCAAATCAGGCCAGACATGTTGACTCTTTTCTTCTTTTCTTTTCTTTTCTTTTCTTTTCTTTTCTTTTCTTTGTTTGGTCTGTTTTGAGACAGGGTCTCCCTGTAGCCCCTGCTGGCCTTGAGCTCACAATGTAGACCAGGCTGGCCTTGAACTCACAAAGATCTGCCTGCTTCTGCCTCCTGAGTGATGGGATCAAAGATGTGCACTACCACACCCAGCTCCACACGTTCATTTAATATCAACACTTGGGAGGCAGAGGCAGGTGTATATCTGTGAATTCAAGGCTAGCCTGGTGTACATGAGTTCCAGAGACAGTGAGTTTCTCTCTCTCTCTCTCTCTCTCTCTCTCTCTCTCTCTCTCTAAAAATAACTCAAGGCACCATCTAGACAGAGACACATTAAATATTCAAATCTGCATATGTCTATGTATGTTGGTAGTGTATTTATGAAGAGTGCAAATGAATGTGTGACCTGCATACATGAGCTGAGCTGTGACTGAGGTATTTGGAGATGTGCCTGTGAGTGAGGCAGGTAGAGGAAGAGACAGATGAAGAGAGTGAGCACCTTTCTCCTGGTTTGTGCATGTGGAAGGGAACCTATGTTGAGGACTAAATCAAAGCAGGCGTCTAGGATGTGGGCCTGACCTCAGTCCCAGACATGGGTATGGGGTCCCAGTGGTTTCTCCTCCTTGCCTCACATCCGTGGTTGCCATCCATGGTGCCTCAGAGAAGGAGAAGTTGGAGACCCATGATGCAAGAGGTAGAACTTTGAAGTGGGGTGGGTAGGGTGGAGCTGTGGCATGGGCCTGGGGCTGTATAGGGGAAGATTTATGGGGGAACTCAAGAGTGTTTCTCCAAACCCAACAGCTCTTACCCTATAAAGCAAGATTGTGAGATGATACAGCTTCTCTGTAGAGACAGAAAACAGTGAAAGAAAAACTGGGCATGGTGGGGCACACTTGTAATCCTAGTGCTGGGGAGGTGGAGATGGGTAGATCCCTGGGGCTCACCAGCAGCTAGCTTAGCCCGCTTGGTCGGCACCAGGCCAGTGAGAGACCTTGTCTCAAAAAACATGGTGGAGGGGCTGGAGAGGTGGCTCAGCAGTTAAGAACGCTGGCTGCTCTTGCAGACAATCCAGGTTCAGTTCCCAGCACCACATGGCGGCTAACAACCACCTATAACTCCAGTTCCAGTGGATCTGATGCTCTCTTCTGTCCTCTGCAGGCATTGCGTGCACATGATGCACTTATATACGTGCAGGCAAAACAGTCATACAATAAAATATAAATAAATAAAAATTTGAAAAATGATAAAAAACCCAAGTTTGATATTGCGGAACAACAGCCAAAGTTATCTTCTTGCATTCACATGGGCACACACACATAAGTGCACCTTTACACAAACTCACACACACATACAGAAAACAAGTCAAGAAGATGAAGTTTAACCAGACCAGCATAATCCTCTAGCTTCCTGTAAAGTCCCTCTTCTGTCCCCAGGTCTAGGTCACTTCTTGGCCATCCATGAAATTTCTCTCCCTCTTACAACTCTCTTGAGCTGGAAACTGAAGACATTGCCAGGGTGGGAGGTCTGGTGTGGCTCTCTGAAAAGAGGAGGCAGACACCTCTTCCCTCCCCTCCACCCTCAGAGTTCCCCATCTTTCTCAACACCTTCCGGTGGGTGGGGATATGTGGGCCCTCTGGAGGTCTGGGGACCTTGGAGCCTGTGGAAATCTACACGAATCAGTCGAGCAAAATGCAGGCAGCAGCCTTCCAGAATAAGAAACGGGAGAGGCCAGGCCGTGATGAAGGTCAGGAGCCTTAGGGTGGGAAGGGAGAGGTGGCCAAGATGGGCTTAAGGTGGGAGAGGTAAGAGACCAAGAACATCTTCCTTCTGAGGTGCCTAAGTCTGTCAGGAGCTCACATACACCTGCTCTGATTAATCATGAATCTCATTTTTGCCCCTTACGCCGGATCTATTATAAACCTGTAGATTGAGCACAACAAAAAGTTCCCACACTAACTCCCCAAATATCTGGATGAATCTCAGCATCATTTCTCATCAAATCACACACAGGCGCCTGTGACCCTCACTATGAGAATATTGCCTTGGCCTTCAGAAACCGGGACCAGTCAAAACCCAGTCAGTCAGCACCCACAAAACAAGGTGAATAGATACTTTCTGACCACCCCACCCGTCAACCTTGAGAAGCACGTGGAGGGGGTGGATGAGTGTTAGGGAGTGTGGTGTTGGTGACGTTAAATTCTGTTAAGTAGCTGGAGATGTAGCTCACTTCGTAGAGTGCTTGCCCAGCAGCATGAAGCCCTGGGTTCCATCACAACACTGTATATATAACCTGGGTGTGCACACTAATCATCCTAGTATTTGGGAGGTGGAGGTAGGACAGTCAGAAGTTCAAGGTCATCCTTTGGATACATAGAGAACTGGAAGTTAGCTTGGGATACATGAGACCCTAACTAAAATAAGTAATTAAATAAATACATTTTTAAAAAGACTGGGGCTGAAGATGAGATGACTCAGCAGTTAAGTGTGCTTGCTATGCAAATATGAGGGCTGAAGTTTGGATCCTAGCACCCACATAACAAGCCAGGTGTGGGGAGCATGCCTCTAAGTCTGGCCCTCGGGGGTTTGGGGGAGACTGCAGTGTCATTGAGGCTTGCTGGCTTTCAGCCTAGCTGAAGAGAGCAGGAGAAACCCTGCCTTGAAGGAATAGGCAGTGAGAGAGGAGGACACCGTAGGCCCTCCTCTGGCCTCTGCACCCATGGGGGGAGGTAGCAACTTCTAAAACGAAAGAGAATGTGAATTGTATGTGTCTGAGAGAGAGAGAGAGAGAGAGAGAGAGAGAGAGAGAGAGAGAACTAGAGCTAGATTTGGGCAACAAAATTTTAAAGGGGAGGTGGGTGGGACTGTGATGTTCACAGTCAGGAACAGTGTTGCTGACTGCTTGGGAATGTCCTTGGTGGTGCCCCCTGCTGGTGGTACCTGGGAAGGGTGAGTTGGCCACAGGCATCAGGTTCAGTGTTTATGGATGGCCTGGCTGGTGAGGTTGGGTGCTCCGGAGATCACCTGTCCTGTGCCTCTGTCCCAGCCCCAGTCCAGCACAAGCCATTGCTAGACACCACCCAGGTCCCCCCGTGGTTGCACAGAGCCATCATGATCTTGTTCATCCTCCTCGCTTTCATCTTTCTGTCCTGCATCATCCTCTCAGCTTTGGTCCTGGTGAAGAGTGAGTGCCACTGAGAGCTAGGGGAGGGGAGGGGGTTTTGTATAGTTTCTACCTGGTCCTTTCCCTTCTCCCAGCCCATTCCCTGGAGGGCGGGGCGGGGCGAGTAGGGCTGTGTGTGTAGGAGGCACTTCAAGGCTGTCCTACTCTCTCCTGAAGATTCTGAGATGGCCAAGGAATTGCTGGGCTTGAAAGGGGAGCTTTCAAACGGTGAGTGGAGGGTCCAGAGGAGACCCCCCAGACGGGTGGCGGGGACCAAGAGAGGAGTGGCCATCTGGTCACCTCAAACTCCGTGCCCTTAGTTTCCAACATGGTACAGAGATGCCAGAACGAGCAAAGAAATCAATGGATGGAAATCCAGAGGCTAATACAGGAGGCCACGAGAGACATCGGTACTGTCAGGAACAAGGTCCAGAGCGGAGATGACAAGCTCAAGACATTGTTAACAGGTGCCCTTTTCGGACCTGCCCTTCCTTGGATGAATTTGTTTGGATGTTCAGAGCAAACTGGGTGCTGATGACTCAGGGAGAAGGCAGCTGGAGTCCTGCTCTCTGGAAGCTCACAGACCAGGGAAATAGACGTCTCTTTTGAGTTGCTCAGGGGAGGAGATGTTTGAACACTACTGGGTGCAGGGAGATGGCTCAGCCAGTAAAGGGCAAACATGAGATCAGGTAAAACGTGGGTGCTATGGCGCAGTTCTGTAACTCTAGTTGGGGTGGGATGAGGGCAGTGGAGACAGGCAGGTATCTGGGCCTCACTTGCTAGCCAGTCTAGCTGAATTGGTGAAGTTCCACGTTCAGTTAGAGATCCTGTCTTAAAAAAATAAGGTAAATGGGGCTGGAGAGATGGCTCAGCAGTTAGGAGCACTGGCTGCTCTTGCAGAGGATCTGGGTTCAGTTCCCAGCACCCATATGGTGGTTAACAACTGTCTCAAACTCCAGTTCCAGGGGATCCGATGCCATCTTCTGGTCACTGAAGGCATTGCATGACACAAGTGCACTTATACATGCAGGCATAACATTCAAACACACAAAGATAAAATTTAAAAAGTAAGGTAAAGAGGGCTGGGAGTGGTGGCTCATGCCTTTAATCCCAGCCCTTGGGAGGCAGAGGCAGGCAGATCTTTGTGAGTTCAAGGCCAGCCTGGTCTACATAGTGAGTTCCAGCCCAGTTGGGGCTACAGGGATAGTCTGTTTCAAGAGGACCAAAAAAATAAAAATAAATAAAAAAGGTAAGGTAAAGAGTGATAATCTCTGATGTTGACCTCTGGCATCCAGGCATGTGCACACATAACATGTGTATACACCACACATGCAACCCCCCCCCATGTTTCCAGTGAATGCTGGGTTTTATCTGAGGTTCCACCTCAATTTCACCTATCTCCTCTCCTCCCACCAGATATAACCCACATCAAGAAAACCCTGGAGGCGCTGGAAAAGAAGATACATACTCGTAAGCCAGGGCCAAGGAGATTGGGTTACAGGTGGAGTCCCAGACCTGGTGCTGGTCTGCCTGACCTGAGCTCTCTCTTCTCCTCCAGAGCCTAGTCCGCAGTAAATAAGAGGATATTGCAGCCACAACTGAGAGGACCTGGCACTGCATCTGCTAGGGAGCATGGGGAATGGGGTAGCCCCCATCTCAAGTGTGAACCCATGCTTCATCCACATATAGAAAATTATGCTTTAGGGTGAATGAGTGTTGCTGAGTTGCATGTATTTGTGCGAGTGCAAGCAAATGAGTATTTGTGGAGGATCGAATTTCCATGTTTCTAACAAGATTCGGAGGAATGTGGACTTGGGAGTTACAGCAAGTGTCACTCTTTTTTTTTTTTTTCTTTTTTTGAGACAGGGTCTCCCTGCAACTCCAACTGACCTGGAACTCGATATGTAGACCAGGCTGGCCTTGAACTCAGAGAGATCTGCCTGCCTCTGCCTCCCAAGTGCTGGGACTAAAGGCATGTGCCACCATGCCCAGTGCAAGTGTCACTCTATGGGTCACACATTGTGTAGCATCACAGATATGAGTCCAGGCACATCCTAGTGGGTGACAGTGTCTTGGAGGACCCCCAAAGCATGCGGGGGTGTCGGTGACATGGGAGACGTGCCTCACTGTTGTATGCATCTTGCTGTTTTATGTGTGAACCTATCACAACAGTGGTGGTTGGTGTACACTGTGGAAATGTGTACCTGTGCCAGTGAGTTTGGGCTTTCATCATTCTGTGTGTCTGGCTGTGTCACCCTGTGTGTTCAACATGTGTATACATGTGTACTCATTTATTTTTCCACTTGTGTCTTGTGATTAGGGAACATAAAGATCAAGGGGAAAAGATGACTCTGGAGCTGTTATTTGGGATGTCTGGTGGGAAGGGGACTTGGGGACCTTATGGGAGATTGGATTTAGGGCTTGGATTTGGGGATGGAACAAATCACAAAGTGTTGTAAACCAGGTGTGTTGCAATGGGACTGTGATCCCATCACTTGGGAGGCTGAGGTAGGAGGTTCAGATGATGAATTTAAGGCCAGCCTGGGTTACAAAGACCCGCTCTAAAAAAGGGGGGGCGGTGCTGGCAAGTTGGCTCAGCAGGTAAAGACACTCTGCCTCTCTCTCTGCCTGATGACATAAGGCAGATCCTTGGGACCCACAGGGTAGGAGAGAACTAACTCCCACAAGTTGTTCTGTGAACTCCATACCCACACCACAGCACATGCATACAAGCACACACACAAAATAGTAAAATTCAAAAAAAAAAAAATTAAAAATACCCAAAGGGTGGTGGTGGAGAGATGGCTCAGCAGTTAAGAGCACTGGTTGCTCTTGCAGAGGATGGGAGTTAGGTCGCCAGCACCCACATGGCAGCTAACAACTGTATGTAACTTTGGTTCCAGGGGTTCTGATGCCCTCTTTTGGCTTCCCCAGGTATTGCACAAATGAAGTGTGCCTACATACATGCAGGCAAAACACTCATACACATAAATTAAAAATAAAATTTAAGCCAGGAGTCGTGGTGCACACCTTTAATCCCAGTACTCAGGAGGCAGAGGCAGGTGGATCTCTATGAGTTCAAGGCCAGCTTGGTCTACAAAGCTAGTTCCAGGCCAGCTGGGGCTACAGAGAGACACTGTCTCAAAAAAAGACCAAAAAAATTTTAAAAATACTCAAAGGACACTGTATCCTACTACATATATACTTGCTCCATACTCAATAGCCAGTAACTGTAACCAGCCTAGATGACCATCAAGTGGTGAATGGATAATGAAAATGTGGTACATATATGTAATGGAATATTATTCAGCACTAAAGAAAAATGAAAAGCATGCAATTTTCAGGAAAATGGGTGGAACTGAAAATTGTTATGTTAAGCAAAAGAAGCCAGACTCAGAGAGACAAACCTCGAATGTTCTCTCATGTGTGAATCCTAGCTTCTAATTTTTATATATGTGTATTTTTGTGGGAGCAGATGTATGTAGAGATCAGGACACTGAAAAGGGGTCTATGAGAGGAGAAACGGCCTCAAGGGAGGGGTAGGGAGGGCAATAGAACACGTGTTGTAAAAGTAAATGGGGGGAACGTGGGTGGAAAGGGTTAAGGAAAAATGAGGGGTGAGGAGATGGGGAGAAGAGAGGGTTGTGGGGGAGGCTCAACAAAACTAAGTATATATGAAAATGCTACAGGGGGAACTCGGTACTTTGTAACTGAATTAGAGAAAAATAGTAAAACAATAAATGCCTTGGTAGGTCTCTGTGAGTACAGGACAGTGTACCAGGGTGTGACGGAGTCCCTACACTTCAGGGTACACAGGAGTAACATCCTCCGAGTGCATGCAGCTCAAGATCTATAATGTGTCCCTAACTTTCTGAACCCATGGATATATCAAGCCCCTAAGCATGAACCCATGTACCCTTGTGCCTGTGAGTGCGTATGTGTAGCTGAGCACATGTACATCAGAGTCTGAGCTTCCCGTCTCCTCCAAACCCACTAGATACAATTCAAATCAAGCAAATCCTGGAGTCATTGGAGGCTGGCTTGCCTCATCTCAGGTCTGTCCTTTCCCTCAGAGCCCAATTATAAGTAAATAAGAGGACATTGGAGCCATACCTGGGAAGATCTGGGATTGCACCCACTGGTGAAGATGGAAAATGGGGGTACCTGACTACCCCCAGCTTAAGTGTGAATATGTCCTCATCCACATCCAGAAAAATCACCTGTCAGAGCAAATGCCATGGAAAAACACTCTGCTAGGGCTTGAAGAGAGATGGCTCAGTGGTTAAAACAGTTTGCTGCTTGTGGTGGCTTGAATGAATGTCCCCCACAGGCTCCAAGTATTTGAACACTCTAGACAGTGGCACCATTTGGGGAGGTTCAGGATGTGGCCATGCTGGAGGATGCATGTCACTGGGCATGGACTTGAGAGTATATAGGTTGCTGATTTATAGTCTGTCTCTCTCTGCTTCCTGTGTCTGCTCAAAGATGTGCGTACTCACCTTTCTATTCTGGCCACCTCTGCCACCATGCCTCCCCTCCATGATGGACTCTTTTCTAAAAATATTTTATTGATTATTTTTATGTGTATGTGTGTCCTGCCTGCATGTAGGTAAGTGCACCTGTGTCATGCAATGCCCACGGAGGTCAGAAAAGGCTGCCGGATCCCCCGGAACTGGAGTTACAGACAGTTGTTAGCTGTCATGTGGGTGCTGTGATTCGAACCCGGGTCTTCTGCAAGAACAACCAGTGTTCTTAACCGCTGAGCCATCTCTCCAGCCCCGCCCCCCCCCGTGATGGACTCTTAATTCTTCTGAAATCATAGCCAAATAAACTTTCCCTTCTGTAAATTTTCTTAGTCATGGTGTTTTATCACAGCAACAGAAAATTACTAATTTTCCACTTTTCCAGAGGATCTGGGTTTGGTTCCCAGCTCCACATTAGGCGGTTCACAACCACCTGTAACTTCGGCTCCAGGGGAGCCAATGCTGTCTTCTGACCTCTTACAGCACCAGTATCAAGTGGCATGCACACATGTACACATAAATAAAAATCTAAAAAATACATCTTTATATAAAGGGGGAGCGCCCTGGAGAGCTGGCTCCGTGGTTAAGAGCACTAGCTGCTCTTCCAGGGAATTTGGGTTCAGCTACCAGCACCCACATGGCCGCTAATAACACTTTGTAACTCTAGTTCCAGGGGATCCAGAGCCCTCTTCTGGCCTCTGCATTGCATGACACAGGAGCACTTACATACATGCAGGCAAAACACTCACATACATTAAATAATAAATAAATAAATAAATAAATAAATAAATAAATAAATAAGGGGCTGGAGAGATGGCTCAGCGGTTAAGAACATGGTTGTTCTTGCAGAAGACCTGGGTTTGAATCCCAGCATCCACATGGCAGCTAACAACTGTCCCTAACTGGGATCCAACAGCTTCTTCTGACCTCCTCCGGCATTGCACAACACGGGTGCGCTTACCTACATGCAGGAAATACATGCATACACATACAATAAAATAATTAAAATAAATAAATAAATAAAAATTTAAAAGGGGGGCTGGAGAGATGTTCAGCAGCTCAGAGCACTAGCTGCTATTGCAGAGGACCTGGGTCTGGTTCCCAGCATCCATTTGACAATTAGCAACCATCTGTAACTCTAGTTCCAGAGGATCTGACACCCTCTTCTGATCTCTGTGGGTATGCACACACGTGGTGCACTTATATACACATGCAGGTAAAATACCCATGGCACATTAAAAAAAGAAAATCCAAGGGGGGCGGGAAGAGCAGGGCGTGTTGGCGCACCGCTTTAATCCCAGCACTGGGGAGGCAGAGGCAGGAGGATCTCTGTGAGTTCAAGGCCAGCCTGGTCTACACAGTGAGTTCCAGGACAGCTGGGGGTACAGGGAGACCACGTCTGGAAAAAAAAAAAAAAAAGGACAAGGAAAAGCACTGGGAATGGTAGTGCACACTTTAATCCTTAATCCTAGCACTCGGCAGGCAGACATCTCTATGAGATGACGTTCGGTCGACGTAGTGAATTCCAGACAACCACCCGAGAGACCTCACAGCCCTGAGCAGAGCAAATCAGCCCCTTTGGCGGAGCACTCGCCAGGCCGCTCTCGCGCCCTCTCCGCCGCTCCTGCTCCCGGCCTGCCTGCGTGCTCAGGGGCTTTTTACAGGTTGTAAAGCAACTCGTTCGAAACAGTGCACAGCTCCGGGTGAGGCTTTCCCCCCCTGGCCTGTAACCTCACTTTGGGTCATTCTCGGGGGTCATAGGAGTGTTCTGGGATCCTGGCCCTTGGACAGTTGCATTCAGCAGCCCACCGCATCAGTGTGGGATGTCCTGTCCCTAGCGCTGCATCCTGAGCAACCAGAGGTCACCTCCCCAGCCGGAGGACCTCCCATACCATCCCTGTCCCGACCATGCACGGTGTGGGGCGGGCTCTCGACTCCAACTCCAGCCCCTGGGAGTGGCTATGGTTTCACCCCAAGGTGCCCCAGGGGCGCAGGTACCCCTTCAGGATCATTTCCTGCAACTTCCCAGTTCCCATTCCTTCTTCATCCTCACCAGTTGGCTTCCCGCT